TTACGTTCTTGTATCTTGAATATTATTACACACTTACATAAATTCGCAAAATTATGTATATATTAGATATTATGATATTGCAATGTTGTGTGTATAGTAACATTTCAAAGTTACATGAACTATAGCATGCTATAGTGATTAGATTTTGAGATTCCCACTATTATGAATATTACATTTAGTAGGTATAAACTAATACCTGAATTATGCAATGCAAATATATTACTCATTAATTAATTGTTGTTTAATATTTTCCCATGTTGAGGTAATATTTGTACAATAATGGTCAAAAAGAAAATTCTCAATTCACTAATTGATAATATATTTTTAGATAAAGGAAAAAGGAACATATACAGATATTTGTAAAATAAAAATAAAAGTACAATCTTATATATTTTATTTATGCCATCTAATAATATTAAAACTGTATCATAAATTTGAACATTTAATTTTAATTTAATTTTTTTAATTTAAGCCATGGTTTATTTTCCGGGTGTTTCTCATTCGGGACTATTATTACCACACACCTAATATAATTTCATAATTCTGTTACAAATTATGAAATTCTACAACAGGGGCAGATTTGAAGTAACTGTCATTTCGTTTATAGATTTTAGAATCTCTATACAGACAAAAACGCGGTGCCTTAAACTTTAGTTCAACATAATGCCAACTAATTACATCAAATTACGTTGTGTATAAGTAAAAACAGAAGCCTGCAGAATATGTAGGTGTACGACATTGTACACAGTAGAGACTTATACCATGCATACAGGTATTATTATTGGATTATAGAATAGCAAGGGGCGGCGGTTTCTTAATTAAATTTGCAAGCGTTGAAACGAGTCACTTTACTACAGTTTTCATTACACTACAGTAACTTGGTACAATTTKTCAGATTACATTTTACAAGCTCTCTGAATATTGTCACATAATTAAGTGATATATGATAAGTGCTCTCATTAGTATTTATATAATATGTTTAGATAGTGTTGTACCTATTAGCAAGAATTATTATGTTTAGACTTAGATCTCCCACGATGGGCGATAATTGGTCGGTGACGAGTTSTTAACTTATTATAATGTCACCTGTTATTTAATTTAAAATTACTATGCCACTTACAATTATTTATTCGAAAAAGTGGTAATAAAATACAATTTTTCATCGAATTCAATCTTGTAGAGCAGTAAAAATCTGAATATATAAAAAAAGCTTTATACAATTTATTGTTTTGTTCAACTGAGGAATATTTTTAGAATTTTTAATAAATTATGTATAACCAGTCACATTAAAATTYGCTAGTTTTAAATACTGTGAAGAGCGATGAATGTATTGATTTTACAATGAGATGTCTATTTTTTGTATCGGCCATCTTTAATTTCATAATTCACATTTAAGGACAATAAAAAAGCTTCGATTTTCTTCAACAGGATCTTTTCTGACAGGAAAGTGAATTAAGTTAATACTTTGGGGGGAGTTAAAACTTCTAAATAGTTTTCAAAAACATAAGAAAAAATAAACAAAAATTAGGAAAAAATTTAATTTTATATAAAACCAGTTTTCGAAAATATCGATTTTGCTTTTCAGTGTATTTGTACATTACCGTAGATATCCATGCAATTTTCATCGTATGTTTATAAAACAATAACATTTTTGAAATATTGCTAGGTACCTAATCTTTTTGCGTTATGGATTTGTAGTTTTATAGGCATAAGAATCTTTTTAGTTTTATAAATTTAATTTTAATTATTGTCTGTAAAAATTTTTTGATTTTGTCAAAAAACTAGAAAATTTGATACAACTTTCCCATAAATAGTTAATGGCAAAAATTWAAAAAAAAATTGAGCGTAAATCCMTAGTATCTTTTTAAGAGTAAGACAAAATTCATTAAAATTAGGAAAATTGGAAAATTATTTCGTATTAGAAATTCTCAAAAATGTTTTCTATTTATAAAAGATTTTTAATTTTTATACGAGTTTCAAGTGGCAGGACGCAGGATTTTTCAATGGGGAGGGGAGGGATAAAAGGATAAAAATAAATAATTACTCAGTCGTCACAGGTTCAAAAGGTTAACTCGGCCATCGGAATAACGATGCTTGGATTGACGGATAGTGTTGCTAACAACAGTTCAATTGTTATCATAGATTATAAATTTATATTGACTGTGGTACGGCTTAAGATAGTATCTTTAATCATGACTCCTGACTATGGAATGTATAAAAATATTATTTATGAACCTTAGGAGTTTAGCCAGTTTAGGACAATATGGTTTGCATTGTTTGTAATAAATAGGTAAACACACGATTTAAGAAACTATATCAAATCGAGGTAAATATAAAAACAAAAAACAATAATACGGGCAATGCCCCCCCCCATTCTTCAGCCCGTTAGATCCCCTCCTGTGGACGCCACTGTGAGATTCCAATCAAGTTTTTAGCTAAGTAACGTTAAGTTACGAAATACAGGGTGTCCCGCGAGGATTTACCCATTGTGATATCTCACGAAATAATGGAGGTATTAAAATTCTGGTTTTATAATAATATTCAGAGGGATAAGAACTACAATTATTTCAGTTTTTAATTTGTTTTAATGTTTTTGTAAAAAATGTAAAAAATATATTTTTTTATTTAATTATTTTCAAAAATATTAAAGATAGCCATTTTGTAGGGTTTATTTTCCTGATAATATTGACGTTTCAACATTTTATTTTCATTGATTTCCCGATTTTTAATATTTTTTCTAGTTTTGTAGAAATAAAATATGATTATAATTTATAAAATTATAACTATTAGGAACATGGAAGGTATTCGGCCGGCCGTATGGGAATATGGAGAAATATGAAATGGATAATATGTGGCTAATAATAATTTAATAATATTTAGGTAATATTATATAAAAAAAAAAAAACAATTCAATAATAATATAACAGTTTATTCGAGTAAATGTATATAAAATTATGGCAGCATAGCCATATTATTATTTACTCGTATAATAATGTTACATTATCTTAGGCTCGTCGTCAAAAATATTCCCTTTGGTTTGTGATTAGAATTGGACCACAGTAAATTTTTCTAATCGTCAGAAGCGATAAAAAATAGCTTATGACGAAATAATAATATTGTTGACAGCACCGGACAAACCAATCGGCGCGACGTCAACAGGGCTCGGAGCGTAACACAACAACACACGCGGCGGGTGAATGACAACGRCGACGCAAAGCACTATAATTATTATTATTGTCGACGCGAAATACCTACCACGGCGGCCGAGTGTACTATATTAGAGCGTATAGCGCGTAACTTTAAACGGGGAAAATACGCAGAAAATGGCGAAGAGCCAACGGCGGGTCGCGGGCACGGTAGGTAAACCTACTAGAATGTTGAAATACGTGCGCTAACTGCAACAAAGTGCAAACACGGGGTCGGAACTCGGGTTSTTATTACATTTTTTTATTTACRTWTTTTTATTTTTTATTGTAAAGCTTACAAAATATAGATGAAGAAATATTTTAACTCCTATAAACCATAGCTTGAACGGAGTAGAGAGTTGACAACAGTACCTACATATAGTAATGCTTAAATGTTAATTAAATTAAATTAAAGGATACACCTTTTTACTTACAATTATAGAAAAGACACAGCTTTCTATATAAATATAAATATGAAATGTAAAATGCAAAATGCAAAATGCAAATGTTTTACATGGGATTGAAATTACAAAGAATGAAAATACAATAAAGAGTAAACATAATAAATAAACATAATTAAGAATAAGCGAAATAGAACCAATGTCAAGTTAAAAATCTTTTTCAGGAATTAGTAAATTTGTAAAATAATATTAAATAACAACAGACAATTAAAATAAAAACAAAACTCAAATAAATACGGACTTTTATATTTAGAAGTAATCAAATTAGAAAATATAGCCACATGTAAACATCTTTTTCCCCATTATCTAAGCCACTATGAATATTTTTTTTTAATAGAGTTGGCATCTGGTTAAAATAGGTTGGGACAGAATAGTCTACAAAAGATTGTAAAAACACACGTAATATAATATAGGTATATAATACATACACTACACACGTGGTGGGCAAATGACCACGATGCAAAGCACAATGRTTGTCWACGCTAAATCCATCATTATTGGTTAGTGATGAAATAAATTCAGACTCTTGTCTCTAGCAAATAGAAGAGTTGAAGCTAATTTAGGGTTTTTGCACAAGCTGATTGGCGGACGTGTGGATGCTCACTCTCTTCTTTCTCTAATACATTTTAAAGTTCCTTATCACTCTACAACTACAAGACCTAATTCTACCATTGTTACACATGCGGCGGGTAGGTAGATGTTAGACTACTTACATTGTTAGTGTTTAATATGACATTGAAATCAGAATTTACTCTTCTTCAGGCGTAAATCTGGAGTCTTCATCAACCACGATGATTATACTTGTCTATGTATTAAAGCGTGAGACTGCTGATGGTCTGCTTATCGCAGTGAGACCATCCAGCAACGATTTAAGGTATACGGACAGTCTAAAACGTCCAAGTGATTCACTTTTTAATATAATTGAAGTTTTTAGTTAAAACTTTTTCACACTTTTGTTAATCATCAAATTTGAAAAAAACATTTTTTCTTAATACCAGACATTTTTATGAGAATTCACTATTATTTTTTATTCTAGTAGGTTCCGATTTTATAAATTATATGATTTAACATTTCTTAAAGTCACGCTTCTTTAAATTGAACAATAMTATTTAAAAATGTGAAATATATTTTATTAATTTATTATCAATTTGTGTCATTGTATAAAAAATWATTATCACCCACCCACTTACCAAATATTACAAGTGCTTCTTATTTAAACCAGTTACCACTGGTGGATGACAAGTAACAACCAGCAACAAATTAATCATTAGATATCTAAGTAAAAGTAAAAGTTACCTATTAAAACTGTTAATGCCTATCGTGTTGAATGATACACATTATTCACTTGTTACAGACAACATGCGGTTAGAAATAAGTCTGTCAATAGTGTTAATAGCGTGCTTGGTGCGTGTGACGTATAATTTGGAATGCGAACAAAATCAAAATGGACAGTCCATGAGCTTTTTTAAGACGAATGGCGATCTCCTGTTAACTGGTAAATATATYGTAGTAAATATTTATGCACACGTGTCTAATTTACGCGATTAATTAATGTGTTCCAGGTTTCTTTGATGTTTACGACGAGAAATGTTCAGGCCCCATGTCCACGGGTATCCATTCAATGGAAATGGTAGCCACCGTTGTACAAATACTAAATTCAATTCATTATGTCCCAGGCATTACATTGGGTATGTAACAAATGTATAATAATATACAATACTATGGACGGAACTTAAATGTCAATAATAATGACATATCATGCTCAATAGCAGTGGCATAACAAGAATTTTGTATGGAAGAAGGAAGTGTCAAGTCTCATAAAAAATTCCTATTCAATTTTCCTTCACTTACACTTTTTGTAAAATCATTTTTTCAATATAGATAATATAGACTAAAATAAATACGGCCAATCGAAGAGCCCCATCTCTCTGTCCACGCCACTGGTARATAATTTATTAAAAAAAAAATGCATAGTCATTCGTTATGATGAATATCTGTTTTTATCTACGATTTTAATAYTTTAATGCGCATAATAAAATGATTTATTAGACCATGCGATAGATATAAGGTATATGATTCAATGTATATGAAAAAACATTAAAGGTGGTAGGTATATTGAAAAAAAGGATTTATCATAAGAATTAGCTAGAGATATATAATATATTAATAATTTACATTCATTGTATATAGGTAAGTAATYAGGAAACAATAAATCGAATCCCTTTTAATTTTGTAAATAGTGMAATGACATTARMCTTGCGTTGTTAGAAAATCAGTACACACRATAAACAACATTTAATTCCATAGCAATGTCGGTTTCGAGAAAAATGATTTTGATTCCTCCATTGAAGTTTTGTAAATACCACTATTATTGATATGTAGCCAATAAAGTTCAATTAATATTATGTCTCAGTTRCTGGCACGACTACGAAAGGCATCTAAATAGAAGATTTTTAATACGTTRTCATAAATTATTTAAAGTATGTTTGTTTTAAGACATTTTTACTATTTCATCAGGATTAACTTTGTACGAAGTGTGTTCGTATCGAAGTTCAGATCTTCAAAAAGCATTGATATCGTTCGTTGTCGACAAAGATTGTAATAACTCTACAATACCGATTGGTAATTTTTACAACATGTGCTCGTTATTGTGGATTCGAGTAACATCCACGCAGCAAAAAACATATATTTTTTTTAAACAATTAAATTAAATTTTAGCCATATACACCACCGAAGACATACGAGCCAAAATCAGTCCATCAATTGGTTTGGACGTACCCATCGTAACGGCAAGACCTATTATTGACATCGATATCCATGCCGAAGCGGCCGTCAAGTTTTTAATCGTAAACAATATTAGCGTTGCGGACGTATTAATTGCGCAGGATTTGGATGTCGCTCAGAGGTTTGAAAGTGTGKCCAAAGACAACGGATTTTGTTTGAACAGGACAGTCTTAGCTCATAACATGGGGTAATCATCTTGTTTTTATGCATCTGCGCGGTGAATTCGAAATTTTATTATTCGTATTAKTTTTTATATTTTATTTGCAAAACGGWTGTTTTAGGAATTTGAACGACTCCTTTGTAGTCATTGTCATGACGAACACGATTATCATTAAATCAATCATAGAATCGTCCTCGACCGTTCATGTATCTCATTTCATTTTAATACCACTGGACGGACCGTTACCGCCTAAACCAGGTATTTGTTCGGACGAAAAATATCCACGGCCAAAGTGATTTCCGGTTTAAACCAACCACGGTATTTTTGCAATTTCAGACTTCAAGTACGGGTCGTACGTGTTTCAAGCATACGGAAGTTGCCCGTTCGTCAACAGCAACAATAACAGTGTTGCTGCCACTGCGGCCCCGGAACAGTTGCAGGCGGTGTCCACGCAATTCGTGCAAACGGCCGTGGACGTGCTGCGCGCGGTGGACGCGTACACCGGGAATGCRGGCGACGACGGTGTTATAGACGACGAGTGCGGCAGGAACTCTTCAGCGGGACCGTGCGGCCCGGGCGMGGGAAACCAGACGGCCACGGGAGCAGGATATTACGGCGTCGAGACGGTGGGCAGAGTGTTGGACAGGCTACTGTTGCTGGACGGCAGCGGTGGCGAGTACAACGTGACATTGGTGCACGTGACCGAATACGGTGGTGATGGCCAGACGGTCGGCAGTTATGCACAGGACTCGAACGGAACGCGCCAGTTGTGGTTGCAGCGGGACGACGGTGGCGGTGGTCAGCAACCGCCGTACTTGGGAAAGTGCGAGGCGGACGGCTCGTGTCCGACGTGCCGGATGYGGCCTACGCCGACGGCCACGCCCGTTGCACCGCCGTACGGATTGCTTTCAGTGACGTGGAAGGAGGACGTGTGGATAGCGTCCACGCTGACCGTGTCCGCGGTGGGCGCCATATGCGCTGCGTGCATAGCGTCGTTCGTGCTGGTGCGCGTGTGCAAGAAGGACGTGATGGAGGGCAACCCGACGTTCTCGTTCGTGCTGGTGGCCGGCACGCTGCTCATGTACGCCAGCGCCGTGCCGTTCGCGGTGCAAGATACYGCTTCCGGTTGGCCGCGGCAAGCCGTGTGTTACGCCAAGCTGTTCGGCACGTCCGGCAGCTGCGCGTTCGTGTTCTCCGCCATGCTGGCCCGGAGTTTGATGATCGCCGCGTGCGACTGCGACTCGAGCTTCATGAGCCACGTCAACGGCTACCTGCAGACGTCTCTGTTTGCGTTCACCGTGGGCGTGCAGCTGGCGCTGATGCTTCAGTTCGTGGCCATACACTCCGCCGTCGTGCCGTCGTCCGACCTTTGCCGGGTGTTCGTCGACGGTCCCCTGTTCCTGGGCTCCATGKCCTACGACGCGCTTCTGCTGGTGCTCCTGTGCATCACGTCCCCGTTCGTGTTCCGGTCTAAACGAAATTACCGGGAAGGCGCGTGCTTCGCCATCGCAACTTACCTGGTGTTCGCCGTCTGGCTGTGTTGGACCACGGCGTACGCCGTCCTGCCCAGGCAGTGGTCTGACATGTGCGTGATGGTCGGCATGACGGCCACCGCGACCGTGATCGTGGTAACCGTGTTCATACCGCGCACGTACATGATGATGTTCGGCATCGTCCGCGAACAGATCACCAGCTCGCTGCCGTCGCTCGGCTACGGTCACGGCGGCGTTGGCTGCGGCGGCGCCAGCATCACGGACGTCAACTATAGGTCAACGCAGGCCCTGTACGATTCGGTTCACGTGGCCGCGCCCAAGTGCCAATCGTCCAGTTTCAAAGGCCAGTCCAATCCCAACTACTATTCGCCGGCGGGGTCACATATTCAGTCGATCCCCAGGAGCCGGCCACTGACGCCGGTCGACGAGTACGACTCACCCGCATCGATCGACAACAGGATAACCAGATTCTAATATCCAGTCTCGTCCGATTTCCGCTATAAATTATCGATACTGACGTAGGTCCAAAACATTATACCAGCCTACACCGAGCGCGACCGGTAATACCCGTATTATTTTATTTGTATCCGGTCAGACGACCTTTTTGACGACTCGATTGAGCACGATAAAAAAAAACCAAATATTGTCAGATTTTCACTAGTGACTACCTGCATATTTTGTGTAGATTAGGTACTAATAGGTAACTAACATATTAGTTGAAAAAGATTTTGTGATCGATCGATGTGTAYCCACGGAAGTTGAAAATTACTGGGATAGTTAGGAAACCAGAATTGTATGTACAACGATTGCACTAAATTGTGATTAACTGTCGTCATTTTATTTAGGTACCAATACGATGTTAATAAGACTTGGTCGATAAAAATTTTTTTTGGATTTGATTTTCTTTCGAGTCATTAAGTATCTGATGCATTTGTTCAAGAAATTTAAATTTTTACTTTTTTTAATATTCTATGAATGGATTTTTTCAACCTTCATTTATTTATTTTTTTATAAATATATTATGTACGGTATATTTTAGGGCAACAAATTTTAATTGTGGCATATTATAATAAATTAACTGATSCAGTTAATGAYGTTCTTAATATGTAATAATATATGATTAAAAACCAATAAAAGATTTTTATTTATAAATTATTTATGTTCAAATGTATTTTATTTTTTGATAGCAATCGTTGCATCTACTTTCGTGCTTAATCGTGTTGTTTTGGGGTTCTTATTGTTTGATCGCCACTATGCTCAATCGATTTGTGAAATAGGTCAATCGTGCTCAATCGGGCTCCAGCTAGATTKACGATAAACGATAATACCTCCAAAATTATTATTAATTCATTATTTCTTTGTTGTTCGTTTTCCATTTTTCATTTTCTAAACACTTCGATCATACCTACTATTATTATTATAACGTGCTTGTACGTATAGCTCTACTATTATAGTTATTACCTACCTATCTATTTATGCACTCAAAATTTACTCCGTTCACTGAAGCCTTGTTCTCATATCTTAATTTATGTTTATGACTTATTATTAAATTAATTGAATTGATTGTAAATATTCGTTGAACAGTAATAAAAAAAATCAAACTTTGATCAAAAATAAAATAATTTAATTTCATGTTTATAAAATATCTGATTTTCATGCAATTATTTAGAAATATGAAACTTATAAAAAAATATGAACTATGAACCAATATTAGGATTCACGCGATTGWACGCATTACGAAACGTCAAATTATTTAGTTAGAACTTATTCTGMGTCAAGTGTAAAAGATTATGTATTTACATATACATATTCGAGGCCTACTGGCTATTATCATAACATTAACAATTTGTCAATAAATTGTCTGCTTTTAAAATGTACACTATAATATTAAAGTTTATATTTAAGTGTCTACTAATTRGATAATTGTCTCATTGGTTTTGTAGTTACACCATAGTGTCCTAYCTTATAGTCGTGTTCTAATATGATTCCTGCTTTCATATTACCTGATCATTGATGAATCGGTGATGCATTGTATCGTAATAGTTTATGTGTATACTTAGTGTTTGGAAAAAATACCCTTCTATTTAGCCATGAACGCATTCAATCGAGAAATAATTTTTACAATTTCACAATTTTTTTTACATTTATTTAACATTTAACAACTTTTTATGTAAAATCTTTGATGATATTATGGATTTTTATGTATCATAATAAAATGTTTTTTTTCATGATTTGTCTCTGTAATTATTGTTTTTGACGTTTTATATATTAAAGTAATCCTTGAAAGTAATGAAATAAATACACTTTAGAGAGTTAAGTTAATTTATWTATAAATGAGGTACTTCGTATAGGTACCTATACGATGACAGGAACTAAATTGAACGAGAAAATTGATGACATTATGTCTGGTAAGGCATTTTGAGAGGACTGCAGTAAGGAATTAAGGTTTCACTACCTGCGTTGTGTTGAAAGTAAAAGACAATTAAACGAGGTATGCCAAAGGTTACTGATTATCTCGTTAGTCGTTTGTGAATAGGGTATAGAAAAGAGAGTCATTAGGGGAACAGGAAGGGCAAATAGGTTATATAAATAGACTGAAAAAAGAATAGTTTTTTCGAGTGTGCAAAATAGCATTTACAGTGTCTTTTTAAAATATTCAAATAAAAAATAAATAAGTAAGATATATAAGCAATGTATCTTTTTTATTTCAAATAACTTTTTAATTAATGCCCGAAATATACGAGTATATACCGATAAAATTAATGCAATATCCTACATGATCTACTTCTGCATGTGTACAGGTAACAAAGTTTTAAATCTTAATTTATTTCAACTGCAATTGAATTCCCAAAACTATAATTATTATTTAGCTGTTTCATAATTTTATTTCAAACACTAATGAAAGCGATTTTATTTTTTATACTAATGTGGGTTTACCCTACACACAATTTTATAAGTCAGTACGAACAAAGTACCTCACTGATTTGTTATCGACGGTTTRGGTGACAGTATTGACCAATTTCTATCAGGAACGAYCAATGACTAGTTGTTGCAATTATTTTCTATTATAATTTATAGCACCTAAATGTATATTATATAATATATACTATTATAGTAATAATATCATATATAGTATATTATTTTTTTATCATATATTTTAAAATACCTATGTCATGATTAACATTTAAAAGTTAAAATAATCATACATTTTAAGAGTTGGATACTTTATGGTTTTTGATCAAGGCCATAGATATTAAAACAAAATTTAAATAAAATACACATTTTAAAGGATTAGAGACTATATATTAATTTTGATATTGTTAATTGTAATTTGAAAATAATTAAACAATAATAGCATAGGTATTGAATGGGTTTTCAATTTTTTTTTCGTATATACAATATCAGAGCCGCGTTTAATGGGTGGAAAATTTTATGGTGTTTGATGGGGTGGCAAATTTTTGAGGATCAACATAAAAAAAAAAAAAAAAATAAGGGCAGCATATTTTAATTTGCACCCGGTCGGCAACATAGCTTAACGTGACAATGCAAAATACAGTTAGATACTTTAGATATTTTGATTGATCTGTATAACTAGATTTAAAATTTATTTTACATTATACATAAACAAAAAACTGTCTTATTTAATAATTATAGTTATTAAGTAATTCACGCTTAAGTTAGTGAGGTTTTACTATTAATGCATATGAAATTATTATAGAACTTTATCAAAAAAATAAATTTTAACTTGTTATGCAATGGYATTTTGTAGCTACTGTTCTTGTAAAAGACTCACTGAATGGAACAACTTAAATTCTACAGTTTTTACCATATTGATTTTTTTCATTGAAAATCTTAATCCTTTTTATCCTATAATCCTAATGTTATTTCAGAACATGTTTCCTATATGATTTAGTAATGTGAACGAAATACTAAAATCATCAATAGTGAAAATATTACATAATTATAAAATAAATACTTCTTGCCATGCTTTATGTTTATTAGTTATTACTTATATACAATTAGTAACAATGTACATTTTGTAAATACAATTTCAGTTATTATTCATCCGTTTCGTCGAGTTTCTTATAAGCGATAGGTTTGCCAAAGGATGGTACAATGCTTGTGGACTTATAATTGGGAATAGATGTATCATTGTTAATCTACAAAAATAAATTGAAAACGATTAGTGCATAATTTGTGGTAACCACATATCGTCTATCAAAGATACTTYGATCGTATACCTACCTTCTCAGTTGTGTCGTTCGAAACTTTACTTAAAAACACTAACATACTGCAGTAAGATATGTTTATGATTCCTACAGTTCTCATTAACCACGGGAATCCAAGGTTTTTCACGACTTGACCACCAAAAATAGGACCTTAAATCATAAATCACAGTAGACGTTAGCTCAAGTAAATAATATGTATGTATAATTATTAATACAGGTACAATATTTTCTATTATACATGGTAATAYAATTATACAATTTTAAATAGGAATATAGAAGTAAGTACCTACACAATACTATTTAAACCAATTCAGTATTATATTTATTTATTTATTTAAAAAAAATTAAATGTATAACAAATAATCATGCCATTATGAAAACTGTACCTATTACTTACCAACGGAATATGCTAGACTGACCGCTGTTTGTTGAAGTGCGTATACCGATCCGTAATGTACGTTTGGATGTCTCGTGTCCACTAGATTTGCCAGCATGGGGACCAAAGCAGAGTCTACTATCCCTATACCCAGGCCCAATCCAAAATGTGGGCAAACAAGCCCTATTGTTGTTCTGGCAGCTGGAATCTTTTAAAACATTATGTTACGGGATGATAAATAATATTTAATCTAATACAGTATAAGTTATTAGCACCATTAGTTAGTCACCTATTTTACTAACACTGCTTGGTAATTATTACAAACTGTTAAATTAATTACGACGTAAAACTCACCATTATGGCAGATATGCCGACTAGCAGAGTTGCTAATATAGCCATTCTCCATTGCCCCATTGTGTACGACAATGTGCCAAAGAAATTTGTGCCAATCAAATAGCCAAGACTATCTGGAATGAAAACCGTGCCCAACTGCCATTTCTGAAATAATGACAACGTTGAAATAGCATCTAAGGTTTTCATCAAGTTCATTTTACTTCTGGATTTATGATTTGAATGAGCCAAATTGGTAAAAACGGTTCTAAAATAGCCATGGCAGATGATGTTAGACAAATAGAAAAAATGATTAACAGAATATACCCATCTTTTAAAAGATCTTTCCAGTTGCCATTGTTAAAGTGAGACTATTGAAAACAGAAAGGTTAAAACAAYCGCAATTACGCAGTAGGTTTTAAACTAGGTTCTTATGATAATTGGTGTTGTTATACATAMAAAATTAAACAAACTTTAATTTAAAATGCGAGTAAAAATACAATACAATAATCTGATCATCCGGTCCTTAAATTAATAAC